AGCTAATACCAAGGACTCAAGCAGAAAAAAAATGCTTTGAAAATGATGATGGTGACATATGCTTGATAAAATTGATGTATGGATTGTTATAAGAGCTGTAAGAGCACCCAATAAAGTGATTTATTAATTACAAAAAATCTAAGCCCCTCAACAAGGACCAATCTTAACTGATCATAGAGAGAGTAGCAGAACCTCCAAGAGTATAGCCCTGTGGAAACTTTGTAACTTGAAACTGAAGCCACTCCTCCCACCAAACAGGCAGGCCGGTGAAACAATGTGAAGAATTCCCTCCTCAGAACAAACTACTCCAAGACACCAGCTGGGCAGCTTTTGCCCCAAACCAGAGATGAGAAGAGAACCACAGGACCCAGGGAGGAAATGAGAGTGCTGATACGTCATCGTGTGTATTGCAACAAATGTCGTGGAGCTATGTGTTGGATAGGGGAAAACTAATCTGCTTTGTAAACTTTCAACCAAAGCACAATAAAATGTAAAAGAAAGGAAAAACTACCTAATGCGGGTGTTCTGGGCACAGTAGGCTAACATGGTCAGAATCTAACACATATTTGCAGAGTGAGAGAATGATCTTCGCAGCCCCTCCCACTCAGAACAAATCTGTTCCTGCAGAGACACTGCCCCCAAGTGTACCCTAAGTATGCCCTTGTTCCATGCGTCCAGAGGGGGGGGGGCATGAGGACAAGTTGATTTATAGCATCCAAGTGCTGAAAGTCTTCCTTTTATGATCTTACTGACTCAAGAGCATATTCTACCTGCAACCAACAGATCGACATGCCTCCTCTTGTTGGGGTAGGCTTAAATGCCAGGACCAGACCATCTTGAATATTAATTTCATACTCAAATGAAGCTCTGGTAATCATTGACTAGTGGGAGCAACCCGTGGGAGCAGTGAGGCATTAAATATTTATCAAACACAAGATTAAGAAACGGTTTAGATTAAAAAAATACTGTTGTAAGGAATTTAATTTAAAAGTTCTCTATCAAAATAAAAGGGAAAGAATTAGTCAGTCATTGCCTGACCTTCACTGCCTGAGGAGTTGAGCTGTCCTGCCAACTGCAAATTGGGGTGTCTGCGCCAAGCCTTCTCGAAACCGAGAGAAGAAACTGCCAGCTCTGGCAGAAGGACACAGGTAGCAGACTGAGTCACTTAGGCACACGTCAGCTGGGCCACATTAATATCTGCAGCAGGTCTCAAGTTCATGAACAAGCAGGCCAAGGGAACGTCTAGCCCAGAGCTAACCTTAAGGTGTCTGAGCCTAGAGAGGGGCACCCAGCAAGGATAGGGGCAGGCTTTGGTGGTTGGGAGGGAAGCATGCATCTAAAAATAAAATATTTTTTAAACCATCTTTCTGTCTTTTATGTGCTGGTTCCATGCTGTCTCTCCTAATATTATTTCGCTGTAGGATAAATAATATCATGTCAGCATTGTTACTGTGAAAACTCTTAGTATCAAAACAAAGTCATTGAACATGTGCTTGGGGGAAAGGAGCCTCATCCACTGTTCCCTCTGGGAACCCCTCTCCAGCACTGTTTCTACATCTATCAAAGGAGACTAAGGGGCTTAGTAACAGGCAGAAGGGGTCCTATATCCCTGGGGGTCCAGTCTAGGAGGCTTCCAGTTGTTCTAAATAGTGTACAATGTTAGCAGAGCATAGGAAAAAATGAAAATATACATCTGATAGCTCCTATGTGTCATTTACCTTGACCATGTGGCAAGAGATGCACCTAAGGTGTTTTTATAACTGCAATTTGTATATGGCATGATGCTCAGATTTATTCCACCTTCCATACTAAACCCAAGTTATAAAGTTACTCAACAGTAATGAATAAGCCAGGCCATAGATCTTTCCATCGGCCACAAGGGTAGGAAATGGTCATGAGTTTTCATGGAGTGAAAACAGCAACTTTATTATATGCTGGGAAGACGGCAAAGAGCAATGTCAGAAAGAAATCTGCTACAAAAGAAGAGAAGTGTAGGACACAATCACACTTAGCTGATATGATCCTGCATGCGTGTCAACTAATTCACAAAGCAACTTTTCCTTGTGTCGTGCTAACACACACTGGGCTTGATTGTAGCATGAGTTGTGCAAACTGGTCAAACTTTGCCAATGTTTTGATGAAGCAATGGTTTGAATATTAAAAATCTTGGTCAAAGCATAACTATTTTTATTTAGAGCATTCTCCCTGCCAATTGGCTTAATTTTTAAAGTTGAACTAAGTCATTTTGGAACTGATTTGACTAAAGTAGATAAATGCATTATTAATAAATTGATAAATCTGAGAAGATCAATAGGTTTCCTCCACTTTATTTGAAACTCAATATCTAAAAGGATTCTGAAGTTATGTTCAGACTCAGTAGGACTATGTTTGCTAAAAAGATAGTGGGAGTATGCACATAATATATACCCAGATAGGACCACCTGTATTTGTACATGTGCATTTATCTTTGTGGCAAATGTACCCATGAATGTGGTGGATCATACAGGAGGCAAAATTATGAAATCTTCTCGGCCATTACCAGATACCTTGATGGAATGAGTCGTTGAGACTCAATGAGTCATTGAGACTAAGGGACACCAAGGTCATGGCATAACATAGTTCACAGAGACAGTGTTCTTCCGCCTACTTTGGTGAGTAGCAATTGGTGTCTGGAAAGCTTATAAGCCACCATCTAAGGTGCAACCCATCTCTCTGTCCAGAGGGAAGAATGATGAAGA